TAGGCTGGGTAGACTTTACCATATCGGTGTTTGGCTGTTGCCTAAGCCAAGCAGAACAGACGCTCAGCTATATCCTATTCTGTGTAGAATCAACCTGCCCTATTCGAGTTAATCAAACCGCCAATATGTGGTTTTGGGTTTTGTAGACTAGCTGAGTACTAGGTAGCCAATGCAAGGTCATAGAGCAACACACTCTACCTGGCAGTTTTGTAACCAAGTAAATATTGTAAAGCTCCTCCGTGGCAAATCCCGGAGCGGTCCCCACAGATATATATACACATTTCAACATTGGCCATAATTGAACCACAATAATGAGTAGAATTTGATTATGATATTCTATTCTAAGCGACTTTCATCCGTAAAAACCAGTGTTGTGCTCGGTCGGCACTTACGAATGCACAAGCATTGATAACTATACAGCTATTTTGTGTTAAAAATAAAGTCTTCGATTATATTTTAAGTACATCAATATTTGACGAATAATTAAGAATCTGTCTGATTGATCATAGCAGAATGCATGGTAATCAATACCATCGTCAACAATATCTAGTATCTATGTCTTTGAAATAATCCGTCCACCCACAAGATGTTAGTACAAAGAAATCCATCCACACCCAAAATTCCCCCTTCACGACCCCCTCAAGATTTTTTTTTTTTTTTTTTTTTTTAAAAAAAAAAAAGAACATTGATCTCTATCGCTGCTGCTGTCCAGGCAACTCAGGATAAAGCTCCATAGGATTTGTTCCGGGCATTTCTTTGGGTTTTGGCAGCACCTGATGCGGGTCTCGCAACCAAGAAGGAGAATGCAGATTCTCCTGTGAACTAGCAGCCGTTGGGATATTTCTGTTATTTGCTCGAGCTTTGAGCCAGACCAACGCACCCAACGCCGCAAGAACAGGCACACCGACGCCAACACCCACCCCGAGGGCTATTTTCCCCGTTGTTAGCTCTGCCATGCCAGCAGAGGAAGCGGCAGACGTAGTAGTGGGGGAATATGTAGCTGCGCCTGTGACAGTCGAAGAAGGTGTCGAGGAAACTAAATCGAGGACTTTGGATGAGGTAGACGACGCCGTCGCATCGATTGTGCTGGTGGTGGTCGTAGCCGTCGGCCTTGTGATGTTAAAATAACACGACACGAACCCGTCTGGACCATCGGGGTTGATCCAGAAGAGGAACACATTGGAGTAATCTAATGAGAATCCGTAGAGCTGGACGACCCGGGTGAAGTTGGTGACTTGGTCGATGGAGTGGATTTTTGCTAGGGGGGATTTTCGGTCAGCTTTTGTTTTCGCTTTTAGGGGGTTTCTTGGGGACTTGATGGTCTCCGTACAGTAGATGTTGCCTTGACTAGCCGCACTCTCCTCGACTAGACTTTGTTGCCAGAAGGAGATGTTGAATATTCCCAGAGTGGTGGCCCATGATATGACCTGTTCGTCGCCGAGGGTCCAGATGGGGTTGATATCATTGTCTGAGGATGGGGTGATGAAGTAGTTGTTTGCGTCGGTTCCTCGAGTGATTTGGATGAGAAAAAATAGAATGAAAATTATGAAATAGGACATGATGGCTTGTATGAGGAGGTGCCGTATAGATGTGGATTGTAAGAAGGGGATATGGCTCAATAGGGGAAGTGAGGACGAAGATCAGACTCGACCGATGATGGGAGCGACGCGTTAGGGAGGAACCAGCATGCCGAGAGGAAGCTTCGCTGCAGTAAAGCAAACAGCATAGTATCTATATGAGCAGGCAGGCTCACAGCTATGCGGAGGCATGTTTCTCTGTCTTTCCCCTTAGCCGCCGCAGAGGCCTCTTAGGGCAGACAGGTCTTTGTTCTAAATGTTGCGAATGCACGACCGGAATCTAGAGTTCATGCAATCAGAACGACAGCCTTGTCGCCCTTTCAATTATAGTAACCTTTTCACCCAATCCTATCGTTTGAGAAATTGGGCTTGCTGTAGCTCTGCGGCGCTGCACTTTACGGCGGCTAATATGCCTCGCTCAATTGCTAGCCTTGTACAGGGTATTATTCCCTGGCCGAAAGACTGGTGTGCTGGAACTGCTAATCTTAGAAAATGAAAAATTGGACTTAACTATGTTGAATGTAATCCATATTAATAGAGAAGCTCTATTGTACATTATACTATGTAACAAAATTATAATCCATATTGACCCCCTGATCTATGGGCTGACAGCCGCCAGCATATTTAACCCATCTTGTCCAAGCATGTGAATCGCTCCCCCCACCATTGAAAGATTCGCTGGGTTAACAATCGGCAATGGCGCATCCTCCCAAGTCGAAACAACCTTATCATCACCGGCCAGTATGCGGTTGATATTCAGCATTGTACTATACATCACCCCATTACTGGAGGCGGGGTGTACATCCTGGCTCTCATCGTGGATATCCGAGGCTTTAGAAAACGGTCCAGCGGGTTGATAACCACCAGTTAGAGATGGATAGACTGTGAAGCATCGCAAATAACCATTGCCACACATTCGACCCAGCGCGACATCGAACTGGGCGCCGATATCGATCTGTTCCTGGAGGCTGCCTGGATTTACAGAGAGGGCCGATAAAATCTTTTGAGCGCCGTGGTAGCTCACTGCATAAACAATCGAGCAGATAGCGTCGCTGACGCCGCATGCTAGACGAGTATGAGGGGGGATCTCCATGGGAGGCGGATCGCGCCAGTATGGGAGGAAATGATGCGGTGGAAGAACAGTGGGATCATTCGGGCTAAGGAAAAAGGGCTCTTCGGTTCGACAGATCACTCCACAGTGGCCTAGCCAGAGGATGTCCCAGCCATCACCGTATGGTGAAACAGTGGTCTTCTGATCGGCTCCCTGGAGAGCTCGAACTGCGAGGGCATAACTCTGCAGCTGGGTCTTGATCGTCACATCCCAGTCCACGTCATCTTCCATGACGATGGCACTGCCCAGTCTATCATTCACAATGCTAGCTCATAGTCAGTATACATAAGGCGTGGGAAGTGAGCAAGCTGTCCCATACCGTTGCATGGCATTCACATGTGCCCGCCGGGCTGCATACTCGGTCGCCTTATGGTCATAATTCCAATTCTAGAAAGCCATTAGCGGATTCCATACCAGCGGGCTTGCCCAGAACCTACGTAAGGATAGGACTTAGGATTGAGTTCTTCGGGAGTCACTCCATTAATCCAGTCAATATGGAAGTCACTGACTGACGAACTCAGGATAAGGTTGTCACGCTTATCGGGCCTGCTAGGGAGATTGATGGCAAAAATCTTCTGGACCTGTTACCATGTCAGCTTGTGAGAAATTCCAGCCTGGTTTGAGGGATAAGTACCCCGAGAGTCTTGTTTCTGATATCATCGAGGTGGATCCGGGGCTCTCCGGATTCTCTCCGCATCGTTGGCCGAGCATAGGGCAACGGCCAAAGGACGAGGAAGATGACAATCGCTCCGAGCACATAGAGGAGTAAGCGGGAGAGCCGTTTTTGGGACATGGAAAGGGACATGTTCAGTTGCGCCGGGCAGAGAGACGGCCAGGTCGCGGAGGATATTGGGATAAATCTGGGATCTCTCGGTCCCCTGAGGCTCTCAGCCTTGACCTTGGGCTAATTACAGTGGGACGGCCCGGCGGGGCAGGGCTTTGTCGCTTCAACACTTGAGTTTTCTTGGTCAGTTTCAGTCTCAGACTCTCAGAACGCCGCAGCGAGAATGCGGTCTGAAGCTGAGTCCGGATGAAGAGCCCTTCATCTCAGTTGAGCGTCGAGGATCGAGGGTCGAGAGTCGAGGGCGTTCGACCGCGGCGCGCTCACCTGGCGTGGCCCTGGCGCCTGGAGACTAGGGTCCGGGAGGCTAGGAGCCGGGCGGTTAACTTGGGCCAGTGAGATCGAATTTGATGAAAGGGAGGCGAACGCTAGATAGACACTAGACAGGAACTAGACAGGCATGTGACTTGATAGGTTAGGTGGTTAATCTATCGTGGGAGTCTGGCAGGAATTAAAAGTACGCAACATCTGCGGAGTCGAACTCTGTGCAATGTGCTGTGCAGTGTGCACAGTGCGTGTATCGAGAGACGCCCGAGAGACGCCCGTGGGTCTCAGTTCCATAGAAGAATTCCAATCGAGGGGCTTATCTGGGCATTCCATTCACTTTCCACCGACTTGACTCCGGGGAGAACTGCCAACCAACTAGGAGGTAGACTGGAAGGCCTGCCTAAAGCGGAAGTGGTGACGACATTCCCATGACAGCTGGATAACCAACCCGTGCGGCGATGATCACCACGAGAGTCCAGACTGTGTGGATTGTCCCCATATTGGGGGCGGCTGTTAACGCCGATCATTGTCAAAAATCACGGTACCAGGCAAGTCTGCGCACGAACATTCCAACATTGATTGTTGACAAAGCCACACAAAACTCATTGCGAAGCTTTACCCCTTTCATGCTCAACTAGCCACTTTAATTTCCCGATAAGGCTATTTTGTTGTAGGATAAACACCTGTCATTCTAGTCCAAAGAATGCACTCGAAAACCAAAGGCAGAGCATTGAGTGGTACTCCGTAGTGTGATTTATTTTGCTTAGAAAGGGAGACATTAATGGATAGTTAATCAATTCAACTTTATGCTTGGATGACTACTCGATACACAGTTAACTAACTACTGTAGAAATCGTTGACCGGCAGAATGACAAAGCACCGAAAGCGGTCAACTAGCGCGAAAGGCTAGGGGGCACGGGCACGCAAAAAGTATAAGGAGGGAGGCGCCCCCCCGGCCCGCTGCCCAAGACGCCTTCCCCGAGTGTCGCCCCCAAAAGCGCTAACAACAGTGCTGGTGTGGGGCCCTGGGCGCTCCCCATTACCATTTCGGGTCCATCTTGACCTCATATCGAATCGCTCGTCTGCCAGCTTTCATTTCCCATCTCTATTGACACCTTAAACGCCCTTTTATACCCATAAAAGGGCCTAGAAGTGTTTACAAGGAAGTACTTGAGGAGTTCAAGGCCTGGTCTCTCAACAACCAGGCCGGTTTGTGTAGCTGGCTAGCACTACCATACCCAAAAGCTGGTCTTTTCGGTATGTCAAGGCTGGGTTCGAATCCCAGGCCGGCCATCTTTTTTTGCCCGCCAAAAACGTCTTCTTTGGACTCATCAGCGTCTTCTACGCTCGCTTTTCGCTCTTTTTTATCGATTTTTTGGTGGTTTTACTCCCCTGATACAGCCTTGTAGCACGCCCCACTTCTTTTAGCGCCCTTTTTTGTACGACTCCACTGCATCTCCACATCTTTGGTGGACGCAGCATGGACTTGACACTGAACGTGCTCAAATTATTATGATCTTATTATAAGATTTAATGCTCAGCTTTCCTGAATAATTTACTACGTCTCTTCCTTAGGCCTGTATTTTTTTTTTTACTCCTAGATCTATCCATTCGCCTGAGGTCGAGAACTAGCCGGAGAATCCACAATAAGCACTGCCTCCCACGCCAGACCAGATGGAGAAAGAATCTACCAGTATAGAGATACAGGGCTGTCTCCAGAGCCCAGTCGTAGCAGAAATGCCCCTCATACGTTGGTGCTTACTGGCGCACCGACAACATACTTAACCACCCATCGCCCGGGAACACAGTCGCCGTCACCATCACCTTAACCAACCCTTCTAATTCCCCTTTACCTTGGAACCTCAAGCCTTCAACCATGTCCGTAAGAGTCTTCATCTTCGCCTACCGCAAGCCAGGCCTCTCTCTATCAGCCTTCCGAGAACGCTACGAAGCCCACATCGACCTAGTCAAGCGCATCGCCACTGTCGACTTCCCTCTCTCCCACCGGCGCAGCTATATCGCCCGGACAGAGCTTACCTCACCCCTCGAAGGCACCAACTCAACTCGCAACGCTAATACTCCTGCCACTGTGTTCGTTGGCCAGCAGTCGAACTTCGACTTCGATGCCACCGCCGAATTGACCTTTGCCGATCAGGCGGCATTACAGGCTTTCATGGCGAAGGTTTCAGCGCCAGATGCTGCAGCCCAGATTGCTGCGGACGAGGAGGGGTTCTTAGATCGGTCGGAGTTGAGCATTGCGATGTTGGGGGATGTTGTTGAGACGACGAAATGAGGTGGATTGCTATATATAAGGAAAGAAGTTATTTGAGGGGTTATTTATTATCTTGTGGGGTTGCTCAATTAGCTTAAAGATTCCCGTTGCTACCTTTCTGTTCGAGTGATTTCCATGGAATCGTTGTTCATTAGATGCTAGGAGTATGGGATCATCCTATCCACACACCTAAGTGGGTGCTGCATAGTAGTCCGTATTATGGAGTGGATCTGGGGAAGAACCAGCCCCAATGTACGGAGTATACCTTAAAGCATGAGAAGAATGCTTCTGACGGGGGACCAACCTCCCGGCTGCCAAGGCAAAGCAAGGCAGCCCTAAAGCACCCGCCACCGGCTAAACTCAAGCACTGCAGCATGCATGATGCAAGGTTGGATGGAGCACATCCACGGGAAGGATCCCACAGAAAAGCTGCACCTGGATGGCTTGACGGGCCTATCGCAAGCTGGGGTATCAAGCAATGCACAATTCTGAGCTGATCATGCCCTCCTCGTCCATTTAGAATCGAGTATATGTTTGAGATGCCACTCTTTCTCCACAGTATGTGATGATCATGCTCGCATTGCTCACGCGCTATGACGGGGAGAAGAAGAATAGGGGACTCTGAGCGCGCCTCATGCTGTATTTGCTGTGGGGTTTGGTTGCAAGGCGGGTGATGCGAGACAGCAAGTCTGATGTAGGTGAGGAAGGCTGATAGCGCAGCTTCGAGGAAGAGAAATGGCGCTTAGATATGCAGCATGGCAGTTGTGATATCAGAGGTATTGAATCGAAAACTGTCAAACAAATCCATCTGATTTAACAAGTTTTCAGACACCTGGACAAGTATAATGATGCTGCATATTCTGTTAAACGCAATATATTTGGTGAGTGTAGTAGTGTAGGATAGTCAAGCTTCAATTTGTGTTTTGGGTATGTTGACCCACCCACCCATCATAGCTGCCTTAGAAAATCCAACATAGCTCCTTCCTCTCGACGTTAGAGTATAGAGCACTCATCTCCCATACGATGGTAACAGATCGACAAATCCAATCTTTTCCATAAATCACTCTTTTTAATAAATGGGCTTGAGCGCATCATTGCCTAAAGCGCATCTCAAGGAGTGCACCCGCAGTAATAGAATTGCATTCAAGCTCTCGTAGAGATTGAAGTTGGTTGGGGGGCGATCGAGGAAGGATGCCGGGGAGGTGTGACGGGCTAGCGCGGGGCTAGCGGGCCAGCGCCCAATAAGCTCCGCGTCGCCCCGGGGCATCCATCCCAGCCACCGGCAACAAGGATCGAAATCAACATGGCTGGGCCACGTCGTGGTGCGCCCTCCCATTTATACAGGCAGCGTGCCTTTCCCCCCCTTTCTTTCCCTCGTCTCCCCTGTCCTACCAGTACCACTGACACTGGGGAATCCAGGGTCGTCTTCAATTTTTTGTCCGGGTGGAATTTGCGCCCTTTACAGAGTATCCATATCCATCATTAATCGATATCTTATCTCTTGATCTATTATCGATAACTCTATCCATCCATCAACCCCTACATTCCAACGAGCCAGGAACAAAACCTAAAACAAACAAACATAAACATCCAACAAAACAAAATTCGAGTGAATCCATCAAAATGCAAGAAAATGTCGCCATTGCCGTCATCATCATCGTCCTCTTCCTCCTCCTCGCCATCGCGGGATTCGCTATCCATCGCATGAAGAACCGCGTCGACTATGGCAAGAAGCCGGCCGTGGACGAGGAGAGCGGCGAAGAGGCTGGCTAAAACCAACCAACCTCAACCTCCTTTGCCAATGGATCAAATGACCACTGTCTACACGAACGCATACGCATACACGATCGACGACTCACGGCCTTTTTTTCAGTGATTTGTTTACCACTTTTCTATGATTGCGCATCTACATCACCTACGACTGCATGCATACATTTAACAACCTTTGGGTGAATGATATTTTGATGTCACGACAACATACATACACATACAACTACATATTGATTTACGGTGGATTGGATTGGATAGGATTGGATACTCGTTTGGCTGCTACATATCTGTATCTGCCCCATTACTTACGATTTACGGTACTTGTGCACTTACTATTGATCGACAATGCTTATTTCTTCTGGGATCTCCGCTGTTTTTATTTCGGGGCGTTCGGCTTGCATTTCATGCTACATAAAAGCATATGGGTCAGACGGGATCTGGCTATCATGATGGATTATTGTTTTTATGTCTCTTTTTTTTTTGCCATTTTTAGATCGATATCTGAAGATGTGATGTGATATACCTTGGCTTTGGAGCAGCATATTCTTTGTTTTGTTTATAGGTGACAATGAATTGTGGATTTGCTAAGGTGCCTTTGGCATATCATATCCTATTATTAGCTGGGGTTCGTGGACAAGTTTCTATACTGGTAATTGTCTTTCTGAGCTTTGGCAGAAGTAATTTACGAAAAGAGAATCCGAATTACGGAAGAGACGTAGTAGTTAAAATGGATGCGAGTAATAATTACTCGTAGAAATTGAATTATTTGACACTGCGTAAGATGCTTTTCATTATTAAACCATGAGCATGGGTTCGATTCAACTCGTGAAAGTCGATCTTTCGGGGGTTGTAACTGCCGCTAACCGAGGATCTTGAGGCCTCCCTTTGTCTTCCCATGCTTCTTGACTCCGTCCTGCTTAACCTTGCCTCCTCCACCAGCGCCGCCTCTCGAGCCACCTCCACCTCCGTGTTTCTTCCCGTTCTTGTTGGCTACCGGGCGAACCTCGGTGGTGGCCCGTCGAAGTAGAACCGGATGCGATCCAATGTACTTGCCCTGCATCTCTCGCGCGGCTTTGAAGTAGTCGTCGCCATCACTGAAACTGACGAACCCGTAGCCCTTGCTCTTCTGTGTGCGCTTGTCGCGGATAACCCGTGCCTTCTGGACTGAACTGTATTTGGCAAACGCCTTCAACAGGGAATCGTCCGTCACCTCGCCGGCAAGGTTGCCTACAAACAGTCGGAAATGCGCAGGGTCCCATTCCAGCAGCGTCGAATCGTTCCAGTTTTGGCCTCCACCAGCTCTAGCGACAGTCCTGGGGGCGGGCTCTGGATTGCCCACGGTGGGTACTGGGGTGTTAGACGCCGCATTGGCACCGGACGGGGTGTTGGCACCAGAAGCTGCAGCGGAAAGACCCGGAGTACCAACGGGACGACCAGGGACCTTTCCGGGAACCTGCATTTCCTCCCTGTTCACGTAGGCACTCTGCCATTGTGCGATCTGGGCTTCCATGTCGGGATCTAGCCCCGAGTCGTTGCGTCCAAAATTCCTGCCATCTGCTCCTGCGGGTGGAAAAGGGTTTTGAATTCGAGGGACGGACGGACCGTATGTGTTGTCATTGTACTGGGTGGCACCATAGTATGAAGGGCCGCTCTGGTATGACGATTGGGATTGTGATTGTGGGTAGTAGCTACCGTAACCTGTCGTAGTCGGGGTCGAGTACCCACCGGCTGTGGTTGGAGGAGCGGACATGACGGGACTGCTGGTACGGTAGGGTTGATTGGAGGCTACAGAACGAGGCTGAAATGCCATAATGGCTGCCCGAGGCCCTTGTCCGCCATAGCCACTGCTTGCACCCGATGGTGCGGCCGAGTATGCCGGTTGAAAGTTCGAAGATGCGACGGTGCTGGCTGCCGGTGGCGGGCGCGGAGGGAGCGACGATGGGGTTTGTCTGAGACCTGGAGGTGGCGGAAAGGACATGATGAACGGGAGATTCGAAGAAGAGAGACGGTGGATGGATGATGTGATGCGCCGTGTGCAAACTAGCAGCAGACACGTACCTTCAGGGTTTGACTGACGCAACAGTCATACGCCAGACGTCACGCCTGAAAAAGGTTCCGGATCTTGGGTGAAGAAAGACGAGGGGTGGGTTTTTCTAGATCTGATTGACCTTTCTTTCCTTGCTCTATCTTTGTGTTCTGCAAGTGAGGTGCAGCGAGGCCGGGATGTTGTAGTAGCGTCCTGCGGCCGAGT